GAGCCGGGGGGGGGGGGCGTCGGCTACACGGTCGGAAGATGGCCGTGTGTACAGTAGAATTGTGCATTTTGGGGAATTGAGTGCGTGGTATTTATACGTGACAAGCGCACCAAGCTGTTTCTGCGCTGAGAAGGAAGGCATCTGCTGCGATGCCTGTCTTCTGAATTCTGTGGGCCATGTGGGTATTGTGTATGTGCGTGCCCTCGTCATGCTGGTGGACAACCTCCCCCAGGATACGTTTGTTTTTATTTTTCCCGGGGGAGACGCTGATGATGAGGATTGCTAGATACTCGGGGGGTTGCCGTTGGTTTTGCGGTTAACACTGCTAGCTGTGGTCCCTTGCCGAGAACTCGGAGGTCCAGGCAGGACGGTTATAGGAGAGAGGGAGAAAAGATTGCCCGCAATTTTCTGGTTGATCCGTTGTTTTGAACGCCGCACAGCAGTCGGCGGGGACCCACATTCGTTGTTTCCAAGCTTCGCGTATGAATACAACACGTTGTTCACCGTGCATAAACCTCGAGACTAGGGACAAGAAAAGAGCGCGGCAGAGTTCGGCACTACGGTAGCTCTACGCGTATCGCGCCCTTGCTCGGCCGTGCTTTTTTGGAAGGTCCTTGTCCTGTTCTTGGCAGTGCCGTGCTTATTGTGGAAATGATGCAAATATTTTTGTGTCCTCTCTCGGCTGGTGTCCCCTCCGTCGAAGAGAGGTCTGTAGCCGGGAAGACGAGACTAGTTGGTATGCTTCCTTGAGCCCCGAACGCCATTATTTCACGTGTAAAAAGCAAAAGGTCCGCGCGAGGAAACACGTGTTGCTCACGGCACTCTTTAACTGACTTAAATTTCTATGCTGTTGACTAATACCGTAGAAAACAAGTGGCAGCCCAACAAGCTCTTAAACACGACTGGCTGCTGTTGACGAAAGAAAAAAACACCCAAGAACTGATGCTTGTCCGGGGGCGACTCAACGTTTTGGCAACCGTACGGCGAAAACGGCCACAGAGCACAGGGGGGGGCATGAGAGGAAGCAAACAAATCGCCCGCAATCAGAGCACGCTGTCCCACGCGGAGTTTTCGGCTACTCTCTCAAGCCGGACAACCCAGCAGGAGCCAAGAGAGAGAACAAAAGGCTAGCGAAAGGTCAATCCCGTCAATCGCGGCCAGCGTAGATGCCACCAGAGAGCGGGGATAAATTAAATACTGCTGTAGGCACATCACTCTTGTCATCTTATAGCCCGATCATAAGACACAGCACGACCACACAGACAGCAGTTTCCGATTGATTCACCGCAAGATCAAAAACCTTCTCCGCAACGAACTGTATGCGAGCAAACAGAATGCCGCATCCGCTGGCTGACCGACCCCAACCAATCGTTAACGTAAACGACTCCTTCCTGCACATACATGCCGCCGAGGCCCGCCTGGAGGGCAGCGGTCTTATTTCGTTGTTTTTTTTTGTTCTTAAACTACACTAGACTTCCGTACAACTCACAAAAAAAAGTCTCCTTTTCTCTAATCTCTTGTGATTCCGCCTCCATATTACCGCTCTCTCTGTCTCTCTGTCTCTTTCTCTCTTATCCACACCGGTAGCTTAGCACCAAGTGAAGTAAAAATCTTGACTGCCACGAGGAAAAAGATAACCAGCTACCCACCACCACCCGCGGTACCGCTCGCATATCGACGAATAGATGCCGCCCACACCACCTCGATAGTGCTGCAAATGAACAACAATCGCAATCGGTACCTTATCTTTATTGCTGCAGTGCGCGCGCGGCAGCGCCGATCAAGAAGAACAATGTAACCGCAAAAGAAAAACGAACGAAAAAGGAACGGGCGGGCCGAAGGCAGTACGCCGGAGTCCAACTACCAATACATGGTTAACGTCACACCCACAAACACAAAACAACAGACAACGAAAATGAGACAAGAAATATCAAATACCAGCAACAGCAACAGCAACAGAAACCACAACAACAGCAGCAGCAACAACAACAACAGCAACAACACAAAACACGAGAAACTCAGCACGACTTGCTCCTAGACCATGCTTGTTGGCAATCTGAGACAGAGAGAGAGACAGAGAGAGAGACAGAGAGAGAGAGAGCAGAACTTTCGACAGCGCACACAAACCCGTACAAGCACTCGGAAATTAAAAAAAAAAAAAATGATGCGCCCGACTCTTCGTAAACACCTCGATGGCGACAAGAACGTCCCATCCATCCGCCATAGCCAGTCACTGCCCAGCAGCAAAGCGCGAGGGACGAAACGAATTATACCCTAAACGTCGCAGTTAAAAAAGGGAGAGAAAAAAAAAAAAACACTTGCCTACAGAACTAAGAGAGCTACCACCAATCCGAGAGCTCTTTCCTAATGCAGTGGAATCAGCGGTCTCGTGATGGGGAGCGAAAGGAACGAACATGAAACCCCCATCGCATCGTCAGGTCTCATTTCACATCTCATGCCAAGACGACGACGACGTTGCATCAGCAGGGAGGCCCACGGAAGTCGCAGTGAGAAATTTGTGACGGCGGATAACACACAAGAGAAATGACGAGAGACAGACGCGTCTGGTGACGTGGAAACAAAAGAAGGATAAAAATCACTCGTATGCTTTCGTCACTCTCCAGGCAGGTTCAAGCGCTTGACGCGCGTCGTTGCCGTTGTTGTGGACGCTCCTCTTTCTTGCTTGCTCCACACGACAAGTAATTTCGAAAGGAAGAAGAAAAAAAAAAAAGTACCAGAACTGACAAAAAAAAAAAGTTGCTCCGTCCGGCTTCCACCGCGGCTATACATACGGCAGCCGACCCACTCGCTCCCTTATGTGGCATTTTTTTTTCTTCTATTTTGCTCGCTCCTCTAATCCGTGGTAGTAAGTCTCGTGTGTGTGGTCGTGCATCGTGATTGGTTCACGCGACCTAGTTTCCTTTCGCCCCGGGAATACTGCCGCCTCCGCTGCTCCCGCTTCGCGCCATCGACGGCGAGGGTTTCCTCAGCGACGTCGGCCTGCTGCCGTTGCCGTTGTTGTCGCCGCCGCCGCCGCCGCCGGAGAGAGAAGACCGGCTCGACCTTCGGCCGGAGCTCGACAAAAAGCCACCCCCGCTCCCTCCTCCACCCAGCTTGCCACTGCCCCCATCACCGCCGCTGCTGCTGCCGCCGTTCAGCCGACCCCCGTCCGCTCGTTCTCCCTTTCGCCCCGCCACGCGTGTCTGCATCTGGGCGAGGATGTCGTTGTCCCTGGCTGGGAGGCGGCTGGGGTCCGGAGGCAGCAGGTCGAGCATGCCGCAGAGCACCGTGAAGTACGGCTCCTTGGTGCCCACGAGCATCACCAGCTTCTGCATGTAGCTGTTGAGCTCCTGCTGCAGCCTCGCCATCTGTGTCGTCATTTTTTTATTATTTTTTTTCATTTTTGTTTGTGTCGGGCGAAACAAAGCGGATCACGGTTAGACGTCATGACGCAGCGTCGGTTGTTCCTTCGTTTCACGACATGACACACGACGCGGAAACCACACGGCATGGCACTCACACAGCACTTCTCAACGCAATCTCGATCCAGCCAGAAAACATACTTCGGCCCTCTGTCGGACGTGGTGTTTGTCGGCGCACGGGGCAGGGAGGCAAATATAGCGTTGAGCGTGCGGTACCCCGGAACAATTGTGATTGTAGACATGGTCTGCTCGAATCCGAGGAGGGCAACAGAAGCGACACCATCGCGCTGGAACAGCGGAATGCTAATCCACCAGAAAAAAAGTACGTTCACATTCGCCATGACTCTCAAATGCAATCAATCGTACCGTGTGTGCGCTCCTTTTCGCCCCCCCCCTGAAAAAAACAATTACTTGGCCGGGCGAAAGTAGAGAAAAACCGTTACTTCACCATCAAGAGACATCAAAAGCGGATAGACACACACACACGCCACCCCGTGCGATGCATGGATCAACCAATCCCTCTTCTCCCTCACCTGTCCCGCGTGGTCGCTGCCGATCTTCTTGCTGTTCGGACGGGCGGGCAAGGGCGGCATCATCTTGTGGAACTTGGTGTCCCTCATGGCCATCTTCAGCCGTCGGCGAAGGTCTTCGAAGTCGGAGAACTCGAAGAACGTGGACGCTCGAAGATATCGCCACTTGCTGTCCACCCGGTACACCTATTTTGCATTTTTTTTTTTTCAAGGCACCCAAAAAGACGAACCGGAACGAGACACGAAATATGGAACGGAGGAACCAGGGAGGGGGGTCTTGAAGAAAAGCAAACAACTATAATGGTACACACCCGGAATGAAACGTGGAAAGCACGCGGGTGACAAGCGCCTAGGCATGCATGCATGAATGTTTACAAAAAACGCGTGCAAAAATAAAATAAAAATTATGTACAGAAAAAACACAATTCTTCGAGCCCGTCTGCTGTGTTTTACCTTTTTTTTCGCAAAAATAAAACAAAAATACAGAAAAAACACGTTCTTCGAGCCGGCCCGCTGTTTTCTTACAAAGTATACCTAATCTCACAGAAAGACTAGTCTACCCGCTCGAGATAATACCACAGCAGTCGAAAGGGACGTGTTCAAGTCTCTATTATTTTCTCACCAACTCCGAGTTGAAGTTGAAGTATCCGCTGATCTCGACCTGGAGCATGAGCTCCACGAATCCCCCGGCCGCCATCTTGAGGGCCTTCCGATGCGCGGCGTTCTTCACGCCTATGTAGGCGAGGTCGACGTCCGTCAGGCCCATCTCCTGTCATATCAGGACGGCCACAAGCGAGGGATCCATGGAAGGGGCCGGGATGGGAGACGGAACGAGAGTTGGACAACACCACCGAGGAAGTGATGATGAGAGACGAGACTTCAGTGCGTGCTTTCACCGCGTTTCTTTCTCGTCATCGGCACAATCTGTTGCGGCCAGCCCAAAACCTCACGTCTAACTGGTAAACAGCGGTATATATGTAGCTTCGCAGGCGGCCGTCGACACAAGATACGGCATCCGGCAATGTCGCGTGCTATCGCAAGCGCCCGCCCAGTTGCCTCCCATGCCGGTGGGCGAAGGATGGGCCACTGTTACTCTTCCGGGGGAAGTGGACCATGTTTCTACTATATCCTCAGCGCCGCCATCACAATACATGACTTATCACGAAAAATAACACATAAAGAAAAGAAAACCCAACACCAAAAGCTCTTCCGTTATCATCGGTTTTCCCACGATGTGTGCATACGAACAGAATCTCCCGGTATGTAACTCAACACATCCACACAGAGGCAGAGGTGCCCGGCGATGATGACTACGCAAGCCACGACTTTGTACAACACCACACACGGAGGCATGTGGATGCGCTGAAGGCGGTGATAGGGCAGCTACAAGGACGCCTCCGGCGCCGACAACGACGCCGCCGACAACGACGCTGGTGCTGAAAGTGACGACCGTATATATTTTCGCCCCAAATTGACTCCGGAACACCCCTACCAAGAAAAAAGAACCTCCCCAAAAGCAAGGAATTACAAGGAACACCCCCAAGTCCACGTTGTGTCTCTTTCGGCAATCAACAGCGTGATCGATCTTGTATTTCAGCGTGATTGATCGATTTTCGGTCATCACGTATTCGGGGTAAATTTAGATTGTCACTGTACCTGAATGACAAGGAAATCCTGATACCCCGCGGCGGCGAAGGCCTCCGCCAAGGAACCCAGACCCCGGGAGTCCAGCCACGCCTCCACAGACATGTCTGTTCGGTATGCCGCCTGCACAAGAGCATCAAACATAAGAGCAAACATAATGACAGCGTACGTACGAGACGTGTTAAAAACAAAACGAGCAGCAGAACGGGCCAAACGCTAGACGCAAGCTGCGATGCCAATCCTCCCTTGTTCACCAACCACGGCGGTTCTTGCGTGCCACAGAGCTCGATCCCCGGAAATCAAAACATCGGAAACAGTACCCCGACGCACAGCAGATTTCTACTCTGCGTCCCATATCTCGGTGAGGTGCGGCCGAGACGCCCTGCTAGCGCTATAACGTAGGCGCGTCCTGCGAGAGGAGAGCTCACGGAAAGAAAACAAACTTCCCGGAAATTTCCGCCATGCCGGAAGCACTGCCTTCGTTTCTTCTGGTTCAGAAACACGACTACTGTGCACGCCACTACCCCCCCCCCCCCCCCCCCCCCCC